AAGGTAAGTTTTCTTTTTAAAATATTTTTGGTGCTTTTTTCATATAACAAAATCATGTTGAGTATTTATTGACCCTATCATTTAGGTGTATAATTACATGCATCTTTCAGTATACCCTTCTAAAGGGGTAAATTTCATAATTTTCTAGTGAATTGTGGAAATTTTGATTCATGTGAAGCTTATTTCCAAGGGAAAGTAAGTTACAGTGCCTTTTCCCTTAGTGCACAAGTCATAAGATGCTCAGGTAAAGCAAAGTGATTGTAGAAAGGTATTGCCCTTCCCCTCACCTACCACACCCCAAAAAGACATTTCCCAAATGTCCCCCCACCTGCTTTTGGAAATAGTACTTTATGGCTTATGGAAGGAGTTTCTGCTTCCTGAATATGAGCAAAACCACCTTGTTCAGTGGGATTGATTGGGTCATAGAAATACACTGACAAACACATGGATGCTGGGGATAAACTACAATTTTGTTGGTTATATTGCTCCTGTAGGGAATAGAAAATTCATAATACATAATCAGAACAGCCTGATTTTTAGAAAAATGCAATATGTATATAAAATCAATTGAAGTGAAAAATCCACCTTGTGCAGATGTGTGCCTTTAGAAGTCCTCAAATAGGGATTTTTACCATTTCTCCTATTTCTTGTCTGCCAAAAGAGGGAAACATCTGCTAATATTTGAGTGTCATCTTCCTCCAAGTAACCAACAATATTTTTTCTCTAAAGATAACTTTTCTTTTCATGTTTTGTTTTGTTTTGTTTAGATCTGGATTCTTAAACAAATAGGACTTGCATAGGGCTACTGTAGAATAAGTCAAGAAAACAGTCTATCTTTGCATTTCACTCTTGATGCTTTGTTCTCTGTGCCTACTCATCATAGACTCAGACCCATCTTCTCTAAGACCAAGCCTTACATAGGGTTCTTCAAAAAGTTCATGGAAAATCTTATTATTAAACAAAATGCTATGCATGGATTTCAAAAAATTGCACCAAAATAAAGTTATCCTCTAATTCTAATTTCCCACAGTCTTTTTGAAGTCCCCTTTTGCATCTGCAGCGAGGGAAGGTCAAGTAGGGATTTGAGTGGTGTTAGCCTAAGAATTCGTTAAAGGTTCTCTGTTCTATAACAACTAGCAATTCAATTTTCCACTGCTATAAACTTCTGCATCTCAGAAATCTTCATCTGGGATTTTGCTTCTTTGTTTCAGGCATGGCAGTTACTACCTGGGAAACTCAACTAAGGGGTGACATATAATTAATTCATTTTCTCTGTTTAGATTCAGTCAGTGGTGATCTAAGTAGCCTAAAAAGAACCAAAGCTCCATTTTTCTTGTGATCTGTATCTATTACCTAAACATAAAAGAAAAGATGCATCAAACACATAATCCAATATGTACCCAATTGAAGATCATGATTTTCCTAGTTGTTAAAAAAAAAAAAAAAAAAAGAGAGAGAGAGAACATAAGAAAATTGATGGCTTTGGGTTTTTTTGTTGTTGTTGTTGTTAATTTCTACCAGTTCCACTGAAAATTCTTTTAAAGAATTCCTTTCTCCTCCTCCCAATAGGGATCATCCTTTCCCCACAGTGAAGAACTCTTCATGCTTATTGTTCACTAATGGAGCTTCATCGGCTTTTTGTGGGAGTCCATCAAAGGAAGTCTTCCCTAGATCAGCTTCTCCTGCTTCAAACACTAGCAGTCTGTGGTTTCAGCCTTCAGCTTTTGTCTGTGTCTTGCATCACTTATCAGTCCAATTTTATGCCCAGGATAGATTAGATTTTTCCCCTTCTCTGTTTGCCTAAATTTCCAGCTGAGTTTAAGCATCACTTGTCTTCCAGTAGAATGAGTTGACCTTTGGGCCTGATTGAGGATAAATGCCATGGACTCTGCCTCCAGAGGCTGAGAGTTTTGCAAAGCTTGCATAGACTTATATATTTACCACTTGGAAAAGTGTATTGAATAATCGTCCCCATCTTCTTAAGAGTAGAATATGAGTCTCCCTCCCCCCTTAGCATAATGACAAGTATTGGTGTTGGAGATATGAGATGTTACTGTGTGGCAGGGCATGAGGAGTGTCACATTTTTTCACATTTCAATCATAGGCTATCACATCCTAAAGTTTTAAGAGTCAAATGGATGATTAGATATGTGTGTTTGAATCTGACCGTTTGGACACTCCAAGGATCCATGGAGCAGTGGTATCTGTAGACATGAGCATTTTTCAAAGCCCATTTATCTGGAGGCATGGCTCTCTTTGCCTTGTGCCTCTGTAGTTAATCTGTACTGATATAGCAATGTCCCCAACTTGACTGTGTTCCTCACCCTTCCTCTTGTTCCTTATCACAAATTACAGTGATGAACAGAAATTGCCTAAAGCATAGATGCCACAATATAGGAGTTGCTTCAAATAGCCTGGGACTTGGAGCAGCTCTGGCTTGTTAGCCAATATTCTCCACATCTTTCTTATTTTTTTTCTTTTTATTGAAGCATTTTGCATATAGAATAAGGAGAACAAAAACATTAAAAAAAACCAAGGCAGGTTTATTTGTTCTGAGAACATCTGTTCTTGTTACAAGATATCCATGTGATGATATGATGTAGTCCATTTTCATCCAGCGCCCAAACGGTTTGCTGTTGGAAAGTTGAATGCTACATCCATCTTAGACTTGAAGTTAGAAAGATAATGAACAATGCTATGTAATGAACTGAAACTTAAGGAAATATTCTTCTATAATGTGTAATATTGAGGATGGGAATACACACAAAGTAAGAGAAGCTGAGTTTGAGTATAAAAATGCTTTGTTCTAGAATTATTTCTCCCCTAAATTATTGGATCTCATGGCATCACCACCCAAGGTTGGGTACATATGGCCCACTCTGTTTCTTCACTAAATGCTCATGATTCTTGCCAATTTGGGTTGCCCTTGAGCTTTGGTCCATTCTGAATTGTTTTTAAAGATTTATTTATTTATTTGAAAGGCAGAGCTACAGAGAGGCAGAGGTGGAGAGAGGGAGGGAGGGAGGGAGAGAGAGAGGGAGAGAGGGAGAGAGGTACAGAGAGAGAGAGGTCTTCAATCTGCTAGTTCACTCCACAAGTGGCCACCATGACCAGAGCTGGGCTGAACTGGAGCCAGGAGCTTCTTCCAGGTCTCCCAGGTCAGAGCAGAGGCCCAAGAACTTGGGCCATCTTCTACTGCCTTCCCAGGTCATGGCAAAGAGTTAGATTGGAAGTGGAGCAGCCGGAACTTGAACCAGCACCCATATGGGATGCTGACACTGCAGGCTGGGGCTTTACTTGCTACACCATAGCACCAGCCCCTTTTCTGAAAATTTTAAAGCACAAATTTACTTGACATATTATTTGTTGTAATTAAAAGAAATCTTTTTACTTTGAAAGTTTATTTCTCAAGAGGAAGAATCCCTCAAAATTCAGTTCTGAACCATCAGAAAATAAGTTTATTAATTACTCAAAAGGTACAGTTTATTTGGAGATTTTTTTCTAGGTGAATACTACTATTTTTCCTTCTGAAACAGTTTATGAGTATGGCTAAATTTTTTAAAAAAATTTTTACCAAAGCAAAATTAACTTTTAATTCCATTTGCCATGAACTTTTTGAATTACTCTCATGGAATACCTTCAGTCTTGGAGGTAGAGGAAGAGATTAGCTAGTGAAAGATAAATAATAAAGACTTCAGTTTTACTTAGATAAAAACTACTGACTTGATTTAATGGTTACTAAACAGATAAAACCTATGTAGACTTTAATTACTCAACACTCACTAAGGCACTGCTGTGTATCTGGCCTTACATTCAGTGTCAGTTGGGCCCATGTATGAAGTTTTCTCAAGTAGTTGAGATACTTATAATCCATAGGGATATGCTGGCCACTTATATCTTTACTCTTTTTAAAAGTCACTTCCAGGAATAAGGCTCTCTGAATACTGATTGATCAATCCCGAAATAGGTAGGCAATATCTTTCTGTCCAGGCTCAACTGTCTACTTGCAAAGATCAAACTTGGTCTCCATCTTCAGGTTCTATACAGTTCCCGTGGGCTTTTAAATTCAGTTCAATGATGATCCACATTCTAGATAATAGGACATTTCCTCCCTTACTAGCTGGCTGTTTTAATATCTCAATTTCTTTCTTTGTTACCATCTTTTGCCCCTACACACTGTAATTCCTTGTCCTTGATTCTTCCTGGGCCAAACTTGAACTTTGTCTAAGCACCTTGTGTGTAGATCTCTTAAGATAGTGTGGCTTATTCCTGTATGTAGTAACACTTTCTACAAAACTTTGTTTCATCTGAAAAGTTTCAGTTTTTGGGATATTACGTTATTTTGTTTTCTAGGTATTTGGATTCTTTTGGAGGATGATGAACAATGGGATGAGTCTTTGGTCCCTCACGTTCCCTTCAGGAGCATTATTTACAATGGGATTAAACTTTGGCGCTACTATTATTGTGATATCTGTGGTCACTTAATTCTGATAGAACCTTGGGTAAATGGAAATGCCAAGTTAAGGCAGTGTGTGTTGCAGATTTCTTTTCTCATTCAATTGATGGATACTCTCTATAAGCCAGACTGGTGTATTATGCCTAAATGGTCAAATGTTTCTAAAAAAATATGATGGATTTCTTATATCTTCAAGAAACTCATCTGAATTCTAAGACTTGGGAGTAAATGACTACTAACTACTAGTTTCTGAAAATGTTTGCTTATTGCTATTGGCTTTTTGAAACTTAGTAGATAATGGAGGGCACATTACTTCCTTTCCTACCTTGTTGTTGTCCTTCATTTTGAAATTTAGATTTTGTTTATGGGATTATTAGGGAGGGTCCTACTGGATCACTGGAATGAGGATGTGCTTGGGGTGGGAGGGAATCTAATTTCCTTACTGCTGCTGGGTCATGTGCACCAGTATGGCTTTGACATCCCTGATGCCATGAGCGTGGCTTTGAGAATTGATTCTGACTTTGGTACTTACCACCATCCTTAGGCAAAGGACCTGAGACCCTGTACGCGGGGCAGAAGCTCAATGACAATGAGTGGCACACCGTGCGCGTGGTGCGGAGAGGAAAGAGCCTTAAGTTGACAGTGGACGATGATGTGGCTGAGGGTGAGTATAACGATGGTGAGATTTTTCTCTCTTTGACTGCATGGTCCCCTTGGTAACTCTGTTTTCAAAACCTTATACTTTGTTTAATATCACAAACATGTCCTTGGCTGAGATGAGGATAAGTGATTCTTCCTCTTTACTTTCATAATTCCTTTCAATCTGTACTGTAGAACTTTCCTGTTACTACAGTTGTACATTTCTGAATCTCTCTCCTTAGCATGCAGTATGTATCTGGAAAACAGAGATAGGAGTCTATAGATCCTTCTGTTATTCGTTCATTCAAAAATCACCTGTCAGTCTTTTCCCCTGTAGTACTTCTCCCCTGTACCAGTTACTGCCTTCAGAAGATGAGTCAGTCTTTAATAGAGGAAGATGGACAAATCAGTAATTCAAGATATTGCAGGCAAAAATAAGTACTTGAAAGAGTGAAGGTACTGACTGGTTTAACTAATTTTTCATTTGTGGAATTATTAGTTAAATTAACTTAGTCCTTATTCTGTAACAAGATCTGTTTTATGAGGCACTGGGAATATGGTGACAAACAGACAAAAGCTCTGCCTGGTGGAATTAACATTTAGGAAGGCAGTGAATTCAAGAATGAATCCACACACGTGCAAAGGAACATTCAGAGCCCTACAAACCAGTACATATTTGCCAAGACCCTGCTAGATTCTTACAGTGTGCTATAAACTCAGAAGATAAAAAAGAAGCTGGGGAGATTTCTTTTTGACTCAAAGTGTGAGTCCGTCTAGTAGATTAGATAGGACCATAGTGTTCAAGAATAAGACTATATCATGGCAGTCCGATCTGAATGGGTGTGATTATCATTCTCATTCAAAACAGAAAATAACTATTTGGGGCTAGAGAAGTTAAGTGTAGGTATAAAGGTGGATTTTCAGCCAGAATTTGCTGGTTGGAGGGAATTGATAAGATCTAGAGTGGAAGAGTGTAGGCCTCTTCTGTTGTCATTTACATGAGACCTCTTGTGGGACTATATATAATTTCAAAGAAGTATACATGGGACAGAATCCTTTTCCATATGGGAAATGAAAGCCCAAGCAAGGCAACTTGGGTATTAGGCGAAACAGCTGGTGTTAGATCAGTCCTGACATGAACTCTGCGCAGGATGTTGGGAGTTACTCACCTCTCCTTGCTCTGGTCACAGGCAATCAGTGGTCTCAGTTACTTCTTTGTGTCTTCTGTGAGACACTTGGATTAGAGTCTGGAGCCCTGGGGTTTAATACCACCATGGCCACTAAATTCCTTTATGGTTTTGAGCTATATATACCAAAATTTTTATATTTATGTCCTCCTTTGTAAACTTGAAATGTGTTTTTTCTAAGGCCTTCTCCACATGGATATTCTGCAGTCTGGAGTCCTATGATTTTAGATCCATACACTTGCCCTTCTATAGTTCTGGAATGACAGTGAGGCATGCATGTATGTGTGTAGGCATGTGTGTGTGTGTGTGTGTGTGTGTGTGTAACTAGAGAATGATACTCTGTGAATAGAGGAAGAACACCTATGTAGCATTAATCCAGTGCCCAATAGATGTTGGGTACAGTTTTGCAGTCTTACATACATCAACTCCTGTAATCTTCTATAATTCACCATAGCGAACGTATGTACTTCTTATCATTTTATAGCAGGGGATTGTGAAACTTTGAGAGTTGTGTAATTAAGGTTCCAAGTTCATGTCTGTCATATTATTCAAAAGCATGATACTCACTGTACTTCAAAATCCACCATGAGAAATTGATTTATCATAAGATATAAGAACACATAATGGATGCATTGGAATAAGGAAGGGAGTACCTTCTTGGAGGTAGACCACAGTACACACTGTCTTGCCCCAAAACAGAGGCAAACAATCACAACAGCTCTCCCAAACACTCCAGTTACACATAGGTAGACCCTAGTAATAGGAAGTAAGGTTACTGGTCTACATGCCAGAAGGGTTATTTGGCTTTATGAAATGAGTGTCAAAAACAAAGACATAAACAATGGTTGTACTGTTTAGAACCCACTGACAACCTGAATTAATTATTCAAGAATTTCTCATGAGATGGGAGCCTGCAAAAGCAGTGGTAATGAATCAATCTTGCATCCTTTACTCCCTCTCCTGGGTTTGTCCTAGTAAGCCAAGCAGGATGCCATTCACAGTGTGTTTTGAATATCAGCCGCTAGATGGCAACCTCACCCCAATGTCTGCTCACAGTGAGTTCCTCTCATTTGCTTGGATAATAAACACCCTGGAAGTATGTGCACCTCAAGAACTGCAGAACAGAGATTACTTTAATGTGTGTTTCCTCTCTTGATAATTATTCTCTTTTAGAAACTTGGGGATAAAGGTAATTATAAATTATGCTTTCTGTTACCACTAATAATTAGTAAGCAGGGTTTAACCATGGAATGCCCAAGCCATTTAGTAAATTGAAATCAAAATGAATGCAGCTTTTTCATTTTTAGTCTTACCCCTTCATTTGCTGCTGATGGGAGAAAGCAGCTGTAAGGATAAAGAAAGGTTGGAGAGGAAAAGAGCTATTTTGCTTACGAGCTACAGCTTTGGTGTTTTTTTTAAATTTTATTTTACAGTGATAAGGGGTTTGGGAATTTTAATTTTAGTTCACAGAAGTTATAAAATCAAGCAATGAAGCTAAAATACCACACAGTCCCCCGTGTTATTAAGTGTTGTCTCATTGGCTTATTTAGTAATCCTTTTCATGCTGTTTAAGGTACCCCAGTGTGCCAAATTTTCAGCTACTTTGTAGAAATAACGCAAAGCATAGGCCAGACTCAAAGGAAATCAAAAGCAGGGATGGAAATATCCTTCAACCTGGTGTTTTTCATTTATTGTAATATAATTGTATTCTTGGAAAACTCTTAAGTTCAGTTGACAGTTAATAAGGATTGATTGATTGATTGCAGTGTATTTCTGTTATTAAGAATAAATTAAAATATGGCTCACTTGGGTTATGGTCCACAGAATGGGGGCCTACAGCCGTCTGAACCACCCACATCATGCAAAACTTCTTGCTGGCATAGACATTTACTGTTTTTTAATAGCTACAGGCTGAGGTGATGTCTTTTTCTCTCACCCCACATGGCATGTGCAGCGTCAAATTGTACAAAAGTCATTTCCCATTGAAATTTCGTTCCTCTTGTTAGTGACTAAGCCTGATAAAACAGAGTTGGGAAATGTTAGCTTGAACAGAGTGGGGGAGGTCTTTATTGTCTGACTCAGGAGGAGCTTTTAATGAGCTACAGAGTTTGTGGATAATGGATTAAAAAGTCTTTTGGCACCAAAAGTGTTGGGAAATCCGTTCATTTTTTTTTAAAGATTTATTGATTTATTTGAAAGGTAGAGATACAGAGCAGGAGAGACAGAGTTCTTCAATCCGCTGGTTCATTCCCCAAATTACTACAACAACCTGGCCTAGGCCATGCTGAAGCCAGCAGCCTGGAACTTCCAGGTCTCCCACGTGGTTGCAGGGGCCCAAGGACTTGGGCCATTTTTTACTGTTTTCCTAGGCCATAGCAGGGAGCTGGATTGGAAGTGGAGCAGCTGGGACTCAAACTAGAGCCCATATGGGATGCTGGCATTGTAGGCCATGGTTTTACCAGTTAGGCCCCAGCACTGGCCTGTGGATAGTTTTTCATAATTACACATTTTCCACGAACTTTTTGAAGACCTCTTATGCCTCACTAATCTTGGTTCATTGAATATATAGTATTTAACAAATTTATTTAGTACTAGAAATTATTCATTTTTTAGAAGATTTTATTTATTTGAGAGGTAGAGTTACAGACAGAGAAAGCGAGAGACAGAGAGAAAGGTCTTCCATCCGCTGGTTCACTCCCCAAATGGCCGCGACGGCCGGAGCTGCACTGATCTGAAACCAGGAGCCAGCAGCTTCTTCCGGGTCTCCCATGTGGATGCAGGGGCCCAGGGTCTTGGGCCATCTTCTACTGCTTTCTCAGGCCATGGCAGAGAGCTGGGTTAGAAGAGGAGCAGCTGGGACTAGAACTGGCACCACTATGAGATTGCTGGCACCACAAGCAGAGGCTTAACCTATTGCACAACAGCACCAGCCCCAAAAACTGTTCTTTTTATAAACCATTTCACTAGATACCACTGAAAGGGGAAAAAAGCTAGTATAATGGAGAAAAGGGTATGGAAACAGTGAAGCTGGGAAATTGTGGGCAAAATAGGAGACTGCTTTATGAGACCGTCTAAGTCTTTGTTTGGGAGGACATGGGAGGTCAAGATGCTCCCCCTTAGCCTTTACCATATTTTTTTCTGCTCACTCAGGAATCTCATGTGCAGAGATGGTGATGATTCATCTTTTTCTTTGTCTTTTTTTAAAAAAAGATTGATTTATTTGAAAGAGTTTTAAAGATAGGTAGAGCTAGAGAGAAAGATGTATTCCATTCTGCTGGTTCATTCTCCAAAAGACTGCAATGGTCAGAGCTGAGCTGATATAAAGTCAGTAGCTTCCTCTAGGTCTCCCACATGGGTGCAGGGGCCCAAAGAGTTGGGCCATCTTTCACTGCTTTCCCAGGCCATAGTAGGGAGCTGGATCAGAAGAGGAGCAGCCAAGACTCGAACCAGCACCCATATGGGATGCTGGCACTACAGGCTGGGGCTTTAACCCACTGTGCCACAGCACCAGCCTTGATGATCCATCTTCTGATCCTAAAGAAAATGTCCCAAATGCGAGCTCCTTCCCCAGATGTGAAGCTTATCTGCTGTGTTCAGACCCCTCTGCTAACACTGCGGGGCACGGAGAAGATATATGAAGTGATCGCTACTCAGACATTTCATTCTAAAAAAAGAAAAGCAATATTTGAAATAACTGGAAAATAGCACATTTCAGAAGCAGCAAAAAATAATGCTGCATAATCAGTACTCACTAATAGCTTAAGTCCTAGGCACTATTCTGTGTACTTTGTGTGTTCTGGTACTTTGAACCCTGATAACTTCAGATCTATTCCACAGATAGGAACCTAAGGCATAGGAAATTGGGTATCTTCCCCACAACAACCCAGTTAAGATGGCATAGGGCCAGAATGGGAACTTAGGCAGTTCGAGTCCACATGATTGATCATTCCATTATGTGCTGTTGCCACATAGGCAGTTGCAGATTGAACATGCACAGAGTGTTGCACATGTATATGCACCTCACCACCCTGAGGACTGCTCAGTACACAGCTGGTTGACTGTCAATGAAATGCAGAAGTCAATGTGTGAATGGGCTCCAAGGCAACAAGGCTGCTTTAGGGAAGGTGCTGAATATATTACCTTGGAATCACGTGCAATTGTATTATGGCATTTGGCCACTGGGACAAAGTATTAACTCATTACAAGTCCTGATACATGGAAATTTCTCCAGTTAAATTCCACCTACTGCTTTTCTTGGGCAATGATGTGAAGAATGAGTCAAGCCTTTTTTGCAAAGACAGTATGATGTACAAGTAAAGATAAGGGCTTTGGAATTAGCGTACTTGGGTTCACTTGTGGGGAGCATTCTACCATTTTTTACCCATATGAAACTTAATCAAATTGCTGAACCTCTGTAAATTAAATGTCCCCACCTTTTAAGAAAGATAGTGGTACCTAACTATGATTTTAGTATGATAATGACCTTTGTTTGTGGTTTTGAAGTGATTAGCATAGTGTCTGGTCCATAGGGAATATGCTGTAGTCTTGGTTTTTTCCATTTTATCTTTTAACTGAGTACTTCTCTTTCCTCTGAAATTTGAAAGTGGCTGCTGTGAGGTATGCTCATGTTTTCTCCCTTAGTGGAATGGAGGGTTAGTTTATCAACAGAATTCAGAGATGAGCAGAAAGCTTGCCAGTTACTAATATGGATCAGGTGATGCACTGATATTTTTAAACTTTTATTCAGTTAATTTGGCACAGGCTTCAAAGTTGCATGTGTTTCCCTGATGCAGTAGCACGTTTTATTGGGAATCTCCATTCAACTCCACTAAAGAGTATGTTTCCGTATGGAATGAAGCTGCTTCCTTTTCTAGTTGCCTCTTCTTTGTCCTCTCACAGGCTTTTAGTTTAAACTACTCTTGGCATCATTCTAAACCATAGCTCAATCTATGTCCCTAGGCTAAGCTCTCAAATTCAGTTGTTAGCTTCTGTTTCCTTGTGCAAGTCCTTGATCAGTTTCTCTTCCATCTCAATCAACATCTTAAATTTTTTGCAGGTTTTTTAAGATGGATTTTCTAGTGAGCAGAATTCCCTATTCCTTTCCTTCCAGAGGTCAGTTTATCCAGAATTTCCCTAAAAGCTCCCAGTTGACCTCGAAACTGTCTCTTTGGATTCCTATTAGGATCCCAGTATTGGCCGGTGCCATGGCTCAATAGGCTAATCCTCCACCTATGGCGCTGGCACCCGGGGTTCTAGTCCCAGTCGGGGCGCTGGATTCTGTCCTGGTTGCCCCTCTTCCAGGCCAGCTCTCTGCTGTTGCCTGGGAGTGCAGTGGAGGATGGCCCAAGTGCTTGGGCCCTGCACCCGCATGGGAGACCAGGAGAAGCACCTGGCTCCTGGCTCTGGATCAGTGCGGTGTGCCGGCTGTAGTGGCCATTGAGGGGTGAACCAACGGAAAAGGAAGACCTTTCTCTCTGTCTCTCTCTCTCTCACTGTCCACTCTGCCTGTCAAAAAAAAAAAAAAATGCCAGTATTGACCAGGGATCACCCATTCTCATTTATTAGTTCTTATCATAGACTTTTTCATATAAAATAAGAAAGAACATGAGTACCAGTATAATCCTTGTCCAGTTTCTTTGTCCCCATGATTATTGGCTGTGATTTCCCTTCTTCATTATGACCAGTCCCAGCCTCCAGCCCTGAGAGGGACAGTTATAGCCATTTCATCATTGATTCTTTTTTTATTTCAGTCACTTCATTGCTTTAGAATGTGTGAATTTATATTTTCAAATCCCAATTTTAATGCTAAGTAATTTTACACGTTCTTTTCTCTATTCAATTATTAGAAGATACGTTGCATTTTGATTTTTGTTCCACTACAATTGAAGTTAACCAACATCATTATTTTATTTTTGCTTATATTAAGAGAATGATTTGTCATCATTGTCAAAAATCCATTCACATAAAAGCACAGAATTTCAGTCTGGTTTTGTGTTCATGAGCAGTTCTTTGAACTAGATCTGAGATTGGTCCTGAAGAGATGAAATTGATGTTGAGCATTCAAAGATGGGATCTGTTGACTCTCCCAGATACTGAAGGTTAAGCTACCTAGGAAAACACAACCCTTCTCCTTGAGTTGTTGTCTCTGGAGCTCTGAACCAGTAGAGGAGGAAAATGCAAGGCAGACAGAAGCACAATGTCATTTTGATTAGTGGTAACACTATTGTTAAAAAAATATGGGTTACACTTGCGGAAGTTCAATATCACAATCTCCCACTTGAACACAAATTCAGGACTGAGCAGACATCCACTGTGGAGGCATGACTGGCTCTTATGACGTCTACCCTGTGGATGAGTAGGAGGTAGAGACAGGGTTTGCTGAGGACAGCATGTTCTAGCTAGGCAAAAGTAAAAGTGTCAGGGACTTAGGTATGTGCACACTTCCTCTATGCAGATTATCCTTATTATTTTAGATCATATTATTCATTTTCTTCTGCAAAGTTGTAATAGAAGGGATAAAGAGATGTTCACAGTTTCTTGCTAGTGGAGTTTCTTCAACGTGGAAGCTAACAGGAGAAGCCAGAATGAGAATTCCTAACTCCCTTCCCTGTAACACTGGGCATGAGAACATGGTTTGTTACTTTTTTTGATGTGATTTTTCTCTGTGGAAGCCAGTTTCTACTTTGACCATACTTCTGATGTTTTTCTTGACTTTGTTATTAAAATTTTCTGTATCTGTATTTATTGCAAGCCCTCCTTATCTCCTCTGGCCTAGTTACTCACCTTTTCTAGAAAAATAGGCAATGAAAGGCCCAGTAGTTCCTTAGAGATCTTCGAGTTAGAAATATGAGGAACCAAATTGAAAGGCTTTAATTGTGAAAGAAGTTTCTTGCCATATGGTTTTAGAAAGTCCAGAGTAGTCTTGCTAGATCCAGGCATCTGATGGCATCATAGAACAACTGCTTTTCCCTCTGTTCTGACTGTGTTTTGGGTGGGTGGTCTCCTCGGGTGGGCTTAACCTCTCTGGTTATCACATGGTTTCCAGAAACACCAGGCTTGTTTCTTATCCTTGCTGACTTGCTGGCAAAAGGTGTCATTTTCTGGAGTGTGCCAGCAAAACCTCTGGAGCTGAAAAATCATTGGACCAGCTTGGGATGTTGCTAGTCCTGGATTCTTATAGTGAACCCTAGGTCAGATGCAGACTCTCAGGCCTCATCCCAGAATTTTGAATCATTCACTCTTAGGATGGGGCCTAAGTCCTCCAAGAGATTATTATGCACATTAAAATTTGAGGACCACATTTTGAGTCATTTGACCAAGCTCTATGGTTTGTCTGATACAACATGTTGAGTGATCCAACCTGGGTAGTGTGATGAGGGTCACCTTCTTCCAGTGCACGAGGTTTTTAGGTCAAGTGGGGAAGGTAGCTCATCCAAGGGAAACCAGGGGTTATTATCAGAAAAGTCAACAGTTACAGGGCATATAAACTGATATTATGCAATAGAAACTTTTCCACAAGTACTAGGTGCTAAGTTGTAACAGTGGGAAATATTTAGTAGGAAGTACCTAGGAATAGCTTTTATCTTTACAATGGTGAAAACAACACTTTGCTTTTTGTAGTGGACATTATTAGTACCAGGTTGTTCCTGAGTGGAGACAACTACCAGTTTTATCCTTTAAGTTGAGCTGCCCTGATCTCACATTTTTCTTTTCATGATGGGACGTTTGGAACAGCTGCATGACAGCATGGGATGTAGGGCTGCTCCCCAGTTGAGATCAAGTCAAGGATGTACCATAATGAATATTCTGTTTTCTTTAACTGAATCAAGAAAACTGAATATTCATATGAAGACAAATAATGCCTAAAAGACACAATAAAGGTGCTGTGAGAAATTTGGTAATGTTTCCTGTTTGTCCCTCATTTATGATTTTCATAGGTACAATGGTGGGAGACCATACCCGATTGGAGTTCCACAATATTGAAACTGGGATCATGACTGAGAAACGATACATCTCCGTTGTCCCCTCCAGTTTCATTGGCCACCTGCAGAGCCTCATGTTCAATGGTTTGCTCTACATTGATTTGTGCAAAAATGGTGATATTGATTACTGTGAACTGAAGGCTCGTTTTGGACTAAGGAATATTATCGCTGACCCTGTCACCTTCAAGACCAAGAGCAGCTACTTGAGCCTTGCCACTCTTCAAGCCTACACCTCCATGCACCTCTTCTTCCAGTTTAAGACCACATCAGCTGATGGCTTCATTCTTTTCAATAGTGGAGATGGAAATGACTTTATTGCAGTTGAACTGGTAAAGGGGTAAGTAAAAGGGAAGACATCATTTACACTGTATATCTTTACTTAAGCCCTACATAAAATAAGAACAAGACAAGAATTCTGTCAGTTGCATTCCTTACCCTCGATTCTTTTTCCCTGTTCTCATCCCCATTAATGAAAATGACCTACAAAATAATGAGAGTTGGAAAGAAAAAAATTCACAAGTTCATTTAAGGACATTCTATTAAGACAACACTGTTGGGCTTTTTGCTGTGAAATGTAGTCCTTTGAAAGTATAAAATAAAGGTGCTTTGTTTTTTTCCAGAAGAAGGCTGTGAGATACATTGCATCTGTCTCTTGAGTAATATAACCACCAAATTTGTTCTAAGAATCTCACCATAGGTATTTTCAATCCTGTTATTAGCTCAGATATCCAAATTCTTAAAATGCTTCCCTTTCTTCAAGACATTTCACCACCATTCATTGCCAAATAAAATACCTGTCAAAAGAAAAACAAGACTAGATGCATGATTGACTGTGAATTTAAATGTCATTCCCTAGTGTGTTGTAGTGTTCTGACAATGTTACTTCTTGGCTCTAGGTAGAGTCACCATGCAGTAGTGAAGAAACAGACTCTGTGTGTATGGAACTAAAATGCAGTATGGCTGGCGCCGCGGCTCACTAGGCTAATCCTCCGCCTTGCGGCGCCGGCACACCAGGTTCTAGTCCCGGTCGGGGCGCCGGATTCTGTCCCGGTTGCCCCTCTTCCGGGCCAGCTCTCTGCTGTGGCCTGGGAGTGCAGTGGAGGATGGCCCAAGTGTTTAGGCCCTGCACCCCATGGGAGACCAGGAGAAGTACCTGGCTCCTGGCTCTGGATCAGCGCGGTGTGCCGGCCGCAGCGTGCCGGCCCTGGCAGCCATTGGAGGGTGAACCAACGGCAAAGGAAGACCTTTCTCTCTGTCTCTCTCTCTCACTATCCACTCTGCCTGTCAAAAAAAAAAATGCAGTATGATAGAATAGTATCTGACTATTCTTATAACTGCAACTCAAGTATTAATGCGTCCCACTTTATACCAGTGTAGCATGGAGGATTTCAAGCCCCTTATGTCAGATACATACACATTGCCATTGGACTGCTTCAAGGAATCTCGTATTATTGGATGGTTTTTGTCCTTCGTAGGTACATACACTATGTGTTTGACCTGGGAAATGGCCCCAACGTGATTAAAGGCAACAGTGACCGCCCTCTGAATGATAACCAGTGGCACAACGTCGTTATCACCCGGGACAACAGCAACACCCACAGCCTGAAGGTGGACACCAAGGTGGTCACCCAGGTTATCAATGGTGCCAAGAACCTGGATTTGAAAGGTATACATGATAAAAAAAAAAATGCATTCTCTTTAGGGCATTTCCTATAGTAGAAAGGCTAGTTCCAAAGGCAAACTACAGGGTGGGAATGTCATGCATTTTTGATACCTTGTGCATACACTATTTAATGACTATTGAATTGTGCCCTAGTGCAATCATTCAGTTTATGCTCATACATTCCTCAGGGCATGGTTCATTTTCCCTGATAACCTCAGGAACGTTCTTTCGGAGGGACTAAGTGATCAGATGATAAACGTCAAAATGATGAAACTGTCATTGCAAAAAGAAGGGTCTGTTGGCTTTGCAGTTCTAGCTGAATCATTCACTGTGTGGGTGGTGTTTGTGAAGTTTCTTTGCCCCATTTAGCTTAGGTATATTTTATGGAAAGTGGGAATAATAATTGCTACTCCCTGTCTGGATTGTTAGAGGAGTTGCAATGGAATCTGTAAAAACCTTAGCACATTATTGGGAACAAGTTGCATATAAAAAGACCTCAGTAAGTCATTTCCTTGAAAATGCTGTTCATCTTTACTTCATCATAAAAGAAGGACAACACCTGCTTCATAGAATCGACACAGTGATTAAAATTTGTGAGATGATGTGTGTAAAATGAATGTCGGCCGCAGTGCACCGGCCACAGCGGCCATTGAGGGGTGAACCAACGGAAAAGGAAGACCTTTCTCTCTGTCTGTCTCTCTCACTGTCTACTCTGCCTGCCAAAAAAAAAAAAAAAAAAAGTCACAAGAAGCATTTGGTTTCTTCTTTTTACAACTTAGAAACTGTTAATTGTTCTGTTTGAGCCTCCTCCACTCATTAGCGTGCTATATTATTTTTATCTGATAAATCGTCTGAAACAGCTTGAGTTGATGTGGTTGCCATGTTGTTTACTCATTCTCTTTTGCTATTCACCGTTCTTTCCAGGTGATCTCTATATGGCTGGTCTGGCCCAAGGCATGTACAGCAACCTCCCGAAGCTTGTGGCCTCTCGTGATGGCTTTCAAGGCTGTCTGGCTTCAGTGGACTTGAATGGACGCCTGCCAGACCTCATCAATGATGCCCTCCATCGGAGCGGACAGATCGAGCGTGGCTGTGAAGGTACAACCTGTTTGCATTTTCAGCTACAGCCTTGTTGCAAGCCTCTCTGCTGCCTCTGCCGTGCCTCCTTCCTCAGTTTACCTATTCTCTCTCATCTCCATTTGCCATCTGCCATTGCATCGCCATTAGTGTCCTTTGGTCACTGGTTCAGTATGTCAAAACATGGCCCCAGGCTTCAGGAATGGTCGTTGGCCCATGTTTTCCCAGTGTTACATACTAGCTGAAAGGGAAACTTCCTTGGCATCAGCATCAGTCTTCGCTCAGTCTTTGCCTTTGCTTATAGAATGGCTGAAAAGGCATTGGAGACTTGTATTTATATTTTAATGCATGATGATGACCAAAGCAGACACTGTAATAAGTTATTTATTATGGTTAATAATAGCTGCATTGTTTAATGTGACTCTAACAGCTGATAGGAAAATGATGTCAGAATGCCATGATGATGGAAAGGAAGTAACATTTATTGAGCACTCACTAGATATCAGGCATTGTTAGACAGCTCCTGAGTATAATGTCATAGAACATCATGGGCTTTGTTGTTGGAAAGATGTAGATTCAGATCTTGTTAGCAGTGTGATATTTGACAATTTACTTATCCTCTCTGAGCTACATATTTCTCAGCTGAAAAGGCAATAATATTTAACCTAGCATGATAAAACAGGTAGATGAAATATATTTTATATATATATAAATAAATAAATAAATAAATAAATGCCTGGTACATTGTAGGTACTCAATAAATGGTGAGACTCTTGTCTATAGATATTATCTCATGTGAGACATTTAATAACTTTGCATGTCTATCATGCAGCACAACAAACCATGCTCAGCCTGTTTTTGTAGACTGTCTACTCTCTTGAAATACGTGAATTTTACCATTGTTCCTGAATCTAAGGTCTTTACAATAAAGACATTGTCTTTTTAACCAGCAGAGGGCAGCAGTAAACACCTTAAGCCTGTCGGCCTTAGGTTAGCTGAAAAGGTGATTTTACCTAAAATGAAGGGCAAAGAGGTTGCCTAACCTGTCACCAAGATCTATATATGCTTCCTCTGGTTGAGCCTCATGGTCTTTTGTTTGTGCACTGTATCGTGTTTTCTTGATTCTTTGTTAATTTGCAACATCAAACCTGTTCATTCATCTCCTGTGTTCAACTTAACCACCTTCCATCTGGGTTCTTTCAGTGTCTTAATGCACATTTTTAAAAATGCTTCCCATCATCTTTTAAGGCTGACTTGTAATATGGAAGTTCCGTCTCTTTGACTAAGAGTCAGTTGCTGTGTTACATTAGTAACAAGACTGATGAACCTTATATCCCATTCCTTTTCTCCCTTTAGCCAGAAAATACTTTTGAATTTCATTGGCTGCATATGCTGTGTGTATGTATGTGTGTGTATAGGGGGACATAAGGATGGCATTCACAAACTACTTAAACTCTTTTCTAGAAATGCACAATTATATTAATTTCAAAAATTATTGACTCATTGGCCAGTTCATAGTCCTCTCAGCTGTTGAACAGCAAGCCAGTGATAGGTGCAGCATTTGGAATTAAATTGAATATCTTAGTTTAGAAGATTGTGGAAGGACAATAATTCTAGTTATTCTGGAATAATAATTCATATCAACCCAAATCACAATATATAAACAAATACTAAAAGGTATAAGAAATGGCTCAGATGCTAAATATTTTTATTATGCCACTGGTTCTTAGATTTAAAAGTCAATGATAACCAGCCATTTAATACTATAGAAATGTTGCCCAATAGAAATACAATGTAAATCATGAATATATAATTTTAAATTTCCTAGTGGGTACATTAAAAATGTTATAAATAAAATGAAAGCCTATGGTTTATTTAATGTAGTCCAGTATACCCAAAACATAGTTTAGCATGTAATAATTATAAAATTACTGATAGATATTTACATTATTTTTATCAAATTAAGGCATAAAATTATCTTTATACGTTCAGTGCATCTCATTCAGACTACACATGTGAAGTGTTCAGTAGGCACAAGTGTGTAGAGCTACTGTTTTGGAAACACAATGTTACAAGATGTAAAAATCAGGGTATAAAGAAATTAAGTTATGGTATTGGATTAAAAAGAGATTTAAACAAACTTTTATGAAAGTGAACAGAAGTACACTGTATAAAGGGGGGAATGTACCCCACTTAAGAGAGCTTTAAGAGAAGCAGAAGGGGCATTAGCAAAAGGAAATGACCCATCAAATTGTGGGAAATGTTCCCATCCCTACTGCAGCCCTGTGTGCAGATTATCGTGACTCACCACACACATTAAGGTGGGTTCTGACCTTCCTGTAGCATGGGTGATTGTTCAAACCGGATATTGTGACTTGATGGCTTTGCCACATGAATCTGTGGCAAATCCCATGAGCTAATAACACTGCACTCTATTGCCATGGAGATAATCATGATGGTTCCCCTTTGAGTATTATGACCGCCCCCTGGGTGGGATGAAGTGGAGGATGAGTGCTGAGCAGAGAAGGTCCTTGTTTATTGTACACAAATGACTTGGATAATTAGCCTAAGTGCCTTGGAGAAATGGCCAGAAAAGTGGGTTAAGACATAAATTACTGTCATTGCAAGTTTGCTCTGTTGTGAATCAGCCATTGTGAAAGATCCCAGGAGCTTTTTAGGGTTCTGTGGAAATGAAGCCATGGAAAATGGTGGGGAGGAAAGCGAAGGGCACACAATCTTGGTGAGTCTACGAAAGTCGTTGTTCTCATCCAGAATCTCGTGTACATAGCATGTGACTCCCAAGAAGGCCTCTGGGCATCTCAGAGGAAAGGAAACACACTCCTTGATTTATCATTTCTATATATGGGATAGAGAACAGGTAGGGCATGTGGCTTGATTGCTCAGGACTGAGAGTTGAGCTCTTCAAGGAGGTGATTGTTTTATGCTCACATATTTAAGAACCATAGATCAAGCTATGTTATCTTCTTGTCTCATCCAATGACACTAACACCTTGAGATTCCTAATCTAGTAAATGAGTTTCTTTCCCTACTTTGTCTGACACAGGACAACAAACAAAAGGCCAAAAGCTCAAAAGTATATTTTTTAAAGATTTTATTTATTTATTTGAGAGGTAGAGTCACAGACAGGGAGAGACAGAGAGAAAGGTCTTCCACCTGCTGGTTCACTCCCCAAATGGCTGCAATGGCCAGAGCTGCGCCAATCCGAAGCCAGGAGCCAGGAGCCTCCTCCAAGTCTCCCATGTGGGTGCAGGGGCCCAAGGGCTTGGGCCATCTTCCACTGCTTTTCCAGGCCATGGTAGAGAGCAGCAGCTGGGACTAGAACCAGCACCCATATGAGATGCCAGCGCCACAGGCAGAGGATTAACCTGCTGCGCCACAGCGCCGGCCCCTCAAGATTATTTTTAAAACATATTAATTCACTACCCTTCAGATCTCACAAGAAAGGGTGATGTAGATTTTGATCTTTTGTCTCCAATATACTGATTGTAAAATTTAGAAATTAAGTGCAGTTTCTGGACAACTCCTACCCCAGAGCTAGCTGTGGCTTGTGACTTCTCTATTTAGGGTAGGAATTCTTAGGGTATTGCCTGATAGAATGTGTGGCTGGTAAATATCTCTTCCTGTCTTGAGGTCAGTGTTGCTGCAGAGGCAAGGCATTGTGGGCTGGAAATGCTATTCTACAACTGCATAGGAGAAACATCAGAGGGAAACACACCTCTTCACTTCAAGACTGGCATGCATAAATTAAAAAAAGATGTTGACTTGATGCCTTTTTGCCCACAAACATTTGAGCTTGGCTGCATTCTAATAAATTGAACACATGGAGCCCTTTTGCACCCCTCAAAAAAGCAACTGGACACAAGTCCCCTGCCCTAGTGATAGGTTCCTTGAGGCACATGCAGCATGGTGTAAGAGTTGCTCCCAAGTGGCTCTTCCCAATTCAGCTCCTGAATGGTCAGAATGGTTTTTACGGGCTCTGTCTGATTGTGCTCCTGTGTCTTTTTCGCCTGGCCACGCCACTCTCCTTGTTTCTGGACCGTGTACCTCGCAGTTGGCTGTGTGGGTGTGGGAAGGCTGTTGTTGCCCATTGCTTGTGCTTTGTCCAGTCCAGCATTTCCTGCCTCTGCTCTGCTGACGTGGCTCTGAGGAGGCCTGCTCCACTCCTGGTCTGCACGCCCGCTGTCTGTGCTGTCTCTGGTGCCCTTGTGGGTCTGTCTGAGTGATGTTGGTTATGCAGACTGCATTGTCGTTTCTGTGATGTTACCCGGGTTGACTCTACCTCTGACTAACCTCTGGTTATTGTTTCCGCTTTTTCTGTTCTTTTGCTAACAAAGTTGCGTTGACCAAAGCTGACCTGCAAGGTAGAGAAGGCTCTTGTTCCCATTACCACTTTGGACCCAAAGATGCCCTTGGTGTAACCCGTGGTGTCTTTTCTTTGGAGGTCTTCAAGCTGTCACACCTCTTGGGCAGCAGCAGTTGTGGGGAGGGGGCTGAACCCTGTGTTCTTCTGGAAGGGGGATGGAAAACCCACATCAGTGCATGAAAACAGCTATGAAGAGGAGACTTCATGGGGATAAGAACACGATTCCATCTTGGGGGTGGGCGTGGTGATCGAAGAAGTCTGACAGCATTCTGTATTGTGACAACCCACACACACATTAATCTACTGTGGGAATGATTAGCACCTCTCTAAGTAGTTGCTGTGGAGGGGTTGGCTCCTGTTAATTTATTCTCTTATAGACAGAAGGCAGCACTTGGAAGAAAAAGGCAAAGAGACCACTTGGGCTCTTCGTGTGCTATTTTCTGGGTCAGGTAGGTCATCTTGTAGAGCAGAGCAGGACGCTTCAGTCCTTGTGTCTTAGGACAGAGAATGTCATTTTCCCTTAACTCATTTTAAAGAAATATTCTTAGGCATTTGGGAGATATTAATGTCATTAAAGTGTTCCAGAGATTTATATTTCCTATTGGGGATTTTGGTTGAGCACTTTAATTTCCTGTTTTGTGAACTAAGGAAAAAAACACTCTTGGGGAAGAACAGGGTCTGTCAGCTTTATCCTGAGTACCCTATAAAATGCCTGCATGTGAGATGTCAGTGAATATTTTTGGTAGAAACTGCTTTTTCTATCATCCAGAGAAGCACCTTCCAAAATCACTAATGGCCCAGTGGTCCTGTCATAGCAGGCTGCTTTGACGCAGAATAGCAAGGGAGGAACAGGAATTTTAGGTGTCTTTGGATGGTCATCAATCCAGGGGCTGAGCCTCAGGTGGCTTCTGCAGAGCTCATAATTAGCAAAAATTGTAGGAAGTGGTTAAGGCAGAGGTGGCTTAAAAGTGCTTTTCATCTAGAAGATCATTTACTGAGCTTTGACTTGCTTGCTATATGCCATGTAGGCAACTGTACAAGTATCTGTCTCCCTGAAGGACATCAACTAATAAGGCCTCTCTCTTGCCATTTTACTGCAATTCTTCTTTTTAATCTCCTCTTAGCAGATTGACATTTTCTGATATATACTAAAATTAATGAAAAGGAAAGAACATACACTGGATTAGTACTTTGAAGTCTAAGAAGCAATACAATTACTTTCAGTTTCAAAGTATTTAGGGCCCTTTTGGTAATACTGCTTTTGTTCCTTTAAATATTTATTCATTTGAACAACAGAGTGACAGAGAGGGAGGGAGAGGAAGAGGAAGACAGAGAGAGCGCTTGAGATTGACCCACTTTTGATGTGCTGATTCACACCCCAAATGTCCACAACAGCCTGGTCTGGACCAGGCTGAATCCAGGGGACAGGAACTCCATCCTGGCCCACTACATGGGCAGCAGGTCTCCAAATACTTGGGCCATATTCTGCTGCCTTCCCAGGAGCATTAGCAGAATTGGAAGCAGAGTAGCCAGGACTTGAACTGGCCATTGGATATATGATGCTGGCATTGCAAGTGGCAGCTTAACCTGCTGTACCACAAATCCAATTAATATTGTTACCTTGTAGACATTATGTTCAGTCGTCAGAGAGGTCCGTTATGAATTACTCTCAATGGCAGCAAGGGAAAGGGGACAGGATTTGGTCTACCATGTGAAACAACCCAAGGTTGTTGAAGTTCTTTTGGACCAGATTTGGTCGATAAAAAAGACAACTGCATCTCTTCCTATTTGAATTCCCAGAAAATAACATATACCCTCTCATACAGGGACCTCATACTGGGCAAAATAATCTCAAAATTCCCATCTAAAGGAAAAACAGAAGTGATATATCTCTATACCTACTGTAAAAAGTTTAAGGAAATGTAGACACAGATGTGGGAATACGATATTTTGGATTATCTTAACTTTCTACTTTATAGAAGAAACCTAGTGATCACAGTAAGTGTTGAGGAAGTTATTTTTTTTCAATTTATCTGCAAGACAGAGAGAGAATATGAATGAATGAATGAATGTGAGACATATCTCCTGTCTATTGTTTGTCTCACACAGCCAGAACAAAGCTGGGAGCTGGGAATCCAATTTCAGACCCTCACATGGGCACCAGGGACCCAACCCCTTGAGCCACCATCCTCTGCCTCCCAGCATTTGCTTTAGCTGGAAGTTGGAATTGGGCCTGGAGCAGACTGAAACCCAGGCTCTCTAGTATGCAACATAGTCATCCCAAGCTGTGTCAGCTGTTAGGCTGAACACTCATGCCCAGGATATGGTTTTGGTTTTCTTAAAGATTTATTTATTTATTGAAAAGGCAGAGTTACAGGGGAAAGGCAGAGGCGGAGAGAGAGGTCTTCCATCTGCTGGTTTACTCCCCAAATGGCCATAATGAACGGAGCTGAGCTGATCAGAATCAGGAGCTTCTTCTGAGTCTCCCACACAGGTGCAGGGGTCCAAGCACTTGGGCCATCTTCTGCTGCTTTCCCAGGCCACAGCAGAGAGCTGGATTGGGAGTGGAGCAGCTGGGACTTGAACTGGCACCCATATGGGATGCTGGCACTGTGGGTGGTGGCTTTACCGATATGCCACAACGCTGGCCCCTAGAACATGTAATTTCATTGCCACAGTCTTCTATTGTTACAATCGCTTGACAGTTTGTGACAGGAGTTGTTGTCCTTTGTAAGTACTTCAGGCCATCTTAATCTCTCCTCCTATTTTGACACAGGACTTTTAGGATGAAAATTCTCTTAGCTTTTAGTTTCTTGCCATTGGAGTATGGACCATTATTCATAAGCCAGCTTTTTCAGATCCAGCCGGTGGGCACAGATAGTACTAATTACCATAAAGTGGGCACAAACAGTGCTAATTACCATGAAGTATGAAGAGCAGGGAAAACATATGAGAAGGAAGCAAGGCAGTCTGAACTGTAGAGGCAAAGGTTTTCAGGTAAGCTACAGAAAGTAGCCTAAGCAGGTTGCAGGAGCCAACTGGTGGAGTCCTCTTGTTATTGTGTTAATGGCTGATGTTTTTTTTTTTTTTTTTTTTTGACAGACAGAGTGGATAGTGAGAGAGAGAGACAGAGAGAAAGGTCTTCCTCTTGCTGTTGGTTCACCCTCCAATGGCCCGCACACAGCGCTGATCTGATGGCAGGAGCCAGGTACTTCTCCTGGTCTCCCATGGGGTGCAGGGCCCAAGCACTTGGGCCATCCTCCACTGCACTCCCTGGCCATAGCAGAGAGCTGGCCTGGAAGAGGGGCAACTGGGACAGAATCCGGCACCCTGACCGGGACTAGAACCCGGAGTGCCGGCGCCACAAGGCAGAGGATTAGCCTAGTGAGCCGCGATGCTGGCCTAATGGCTGATGTTTTGCTCATTATATTAAAGTTCTTCAGTGATCATGTTTCGTTTAACATGAACTAGATAACTGCTACTCCTATGTGTCAGGCACCTTGCTGGATAGTAAGGATGCAGGTGAGAAACCAGTAAGAGATCAGTCAATACTTGCAATGCATCAGGACCATGGATGGACCATGTGCAGTGCCAGTGGTCACCACAGGTGCTTGGGGAATATCTGTGGTAGAAGCATGGAGGCTTATCTAAGAGCATGGGTACTTTGGGACCTACAGGAAGCCACGATTGCTGAAATAATCTGAAAGTAAAGATCTGATGGAAGGTGAAACTGGAATGGTAGAGTGCAGACAGGTGGCAGCATATTCTCACGAAGGGTTGGGACTGTTTCTCAAGGATGCCTGAAAAAAGACGTAGATTTGGGTCAGATTTTCCTTCTATCAAGATCACTCTGACACTAGGATGGAGAATGGGACTACAGAGGTTCCCATTAGGAGGGAAGAGCATATGCTAAGTCAGAAGAGAAATGCCCCGTTGCCTGGCTGGTATGCTATGGCTTTTCCCGCTATGCCACGATGCCAGCCCAAGGGTCTCTTAATTCATGAATCCCATTTTAAAAAACATCCTTGTGAGATTTTGATAGACTTACGAGTCATATGCACCTACACACAGATACACATACATATATTCATCTTCCTTTATTTCTTTTCCTTCACACCCAGATACTGCTCTCACTGCCCCCATGAGACAAAGCACATTAAAGGCTGTGAAATGGGGGCCTGCATTGTGGCACAGTTGGTTAAGCCCCTGCCTATGATGCCAGCATCCCATATAAGGATAGGTTGGAGTCCCAGCTGCTCCACTTCTGATCCAGCTCCCTGCTAATAGGCCTGGGAGAGCAGCAGCAGATGGCCCAAGTGCTTCAAGGTGGAAGATCTCTTTACACACTTCCTGGCAGTGCTCACAGGGCTTGCCAGGTCAGATGGGACATGTGCTTAGTATGGGACAAGCAAACCTGGAGTTCCACACAGAGTTCCACTACGATGACTTCACACAGGTTGCACTCATGCAGTCTTTGCCCTTGACACTTTATTAATTATTTAAAATTTTAAATGTAAGTAAGGTGAACACATTTCATGTATTTCACATATACAGATTTAAGTGCATGGTATTTCCCACCTACCTTTCCTCCCACCTGTACTCCTACCCTCCCTCCTCCTTCCTTCCTTATTTTTTCTTTTAATTTTTACAATGACATATTTTTAGTTTATTTTGTCACCATAAGCTTAACCCTCCATTTAATAATTTGTATTTGAAGTTGGTGAATACTAGCAAATCAGCCCCATTTGGTGCCTTTTACTGGTTTTCTGGCATAGACTTTGGGCAGCAGACTTGCTGTGGCGTCCAAACCTGTATCCCACTCCCCTGCCCCCATACCCTTTTACTCCTCCATCTACTGCTTATTTGCTCAGAGCCAGCTGGGACTGATTTAGCCATATTTATTAATTTTCTTCCTTTTTAAATTTAGCTAAGACAAAAAAAATTATCTGAGAGGCAGAGGGAGCGCGAGCAAGCCCCCGTGTGCTGGATCACTCCCCAAACACCTGGCACTGCCAGTATTGTTTTGGGTCTAAGTGGGAGCCAGGAATAATTCAATCCAGGTTTCCACATGGGTGGCAGGGACCCATTTACTTGAACCATCACCTCTGCCTCCCAAGATTTCCATTAGCAGGCAGCTGGAGTCAGGAGCTATAGTTGGGATGAAATTCAGGTGCTGCACTGTGGAATGTGGGCATCTCTTAACTGCTAGGCTAAATGCCCCCTCTTTATCAATTTTCAATTGGGATGTTTGACTCAAAGGTTTAGTTAAATTTCACCTGTTGGTAGGTAACCAAGGAAAAGCCCATTCTGATACTATTGTCCTGTGCTTTAGGGAGCTGTTTTATCTCAATGACCTGAAAATAAAAAAAGACACTTTCTACTTTGCTTTTATGGAACTTGAACTGGAGTTGACTAAATCAGTTTGCAGGTACTTTAGTGACAGGCATGAAATGACAGTATAGGACAGTTTTCAAAAGCAATCCAAGGTTCAAGACAAATGATGGGAAATTTATAGCAGCCATAAGAGTTACCATCTAAAAAACAAGAAAACAAGACACAATGTGATGTTTTCCATTGAATTCAGAAGACAGCTGGGATAGAAATTCAAAAGCACAGACATCCAAAACAAAAATAAATAAATTAGATTGCATCAAACTGAAAAGCTTTGGAAAGGTAAAGGAAATCATTAGGAAACTGAAGAGACAGCCCAGGAATTGGAAGAAGATATTTGCAAAGCATATGGAACTAAGAGTTAGAAACAAAAGCACCAACATGATTGACAGCTTACCTAGTCTTTCAGTCACACTTCTTGTCCCTTTGTCTAAGAAGGAAAATTTTCCATCTTTTCTCAAAAGGATATCTAACTGCTTTTGTGAGTATTGATTCCATATCAAATGCAAAAGCAGAGTACACTGTCCCTACATAGAAGTTTCCTGAGGCCTTATGAGCTATGAACTGGTCATTTGAAAATCTGGAGGAAGGATATTTTGGGCCCAGGGTCCAGCAAGCGCAAAGGAATGTGTGAAGATAGATACATGCTTGAAGAATTAGAGTAGTGGTTCCCAAATCGGGGCAGATGTTGAATCACTTGGAGGGCTTGGTACAACTTGGATTTTTGAACCTTGCCCTTAACCCCAGCCCCAGGGAATAGCCTGGGTGGGACCAGACAATGTTCTTTTCATGAAAGCTACCAGGTGATCCAGATAGTGCTGATGTCAGGGCAGCAGTGTGAGTGTGGTTGTGTTAGAACTGAATCACAGGAGGCATGGGTTCATCACCATGAGCTGAGGGCTGAGGGCAATCAGGAGGAAATGAGGTTGGAAGAGGAGGTACACGCTTAATTCTGGATTGCTGAGAAGTCATGGAAGGTTCTACTGGTCCTTACTGGTTATAATATTGTCAATTTGCTGGTATTATTTGATTCTACATGGCCATTAAATCCCTTCATGCATATGAAACAAAACCAACCGAATTTAAACATCACATCAGACTCCATATTTGTATCCTGAACGACCTTTGTCGGTTGGGAGAGACTTCCATGTGCTCACAGCACAGACAGGCTCCCACACTCACAATCTGGGAAGTGACACATAGCCAAGCTGGGGCTAACTACAATGCAGATGAGCTCAGTGTTTGCGGAAATGTTTCTCTCCATCTGTACAGGATAGATGCTTAGTGCAGCAAGAACCTCACTGAAGCATATTTCACGCTTTCCAACAGTAAGCAGTGTTCAGTCCTTTGGTTGTAATATGTGAAATCATGAAACAATTAGAGGCCTATAGAAGCAGAGGACAGTGCAGAGGGCAATAAAGTGCTAAATTGAATATTAGCATATGCGAAAATTAATGATGCAGATAATAAGTGCTATGGTCACCGAGAAGGGGGAGAATCAGTTTTTGAAATTACTGGGCAATGTTTCATCTGGGGGAGGCATTTGGCTGCTCTTTAGAAAATGGTTAATATTTGGCAGTTAGAGGGGAGGGGAAAGGCATGAAAAAGCCTTTGTCTTCAAATTCAATCAACATGCAAAGAGTTATTGTGTTTTCCTGAAGTTTTCTGTGTTCTGCCTTTCAAGGGAAAGCCTTCCATGTGTTTCTGCTTCTCAAGTACAATTGAATTACCAGCCCATTGTCTGGTGAGAGCTGTTTGGTCAGGGAGCCCCCGTGGACTTCTCAGGAGCTTTTATCCTTTGAAAGAAGCTGTCCTGATTTGCCATTGTTAATGAAACTGGTACCACACAATGCTCAAGTTTAAGACCCACTGAGAACATGACCATGTACCTCCTTTCATCTCAACATGGGGGAACCACATGGCAAATAGGAGCTGCAGAAACCCAGCAGTAGTGCCATTCCCCTAGTGTTAGTAATTGTCTTGAACTTTCTTATGTCATCTCCTAACAGCTTTGTCTTAGGAGTGATGGCCTGTACTGCTTCCTTCCTTCGTGCATAAATACAAAATGTCTTGCCACCCAGAAGACAACCCTTTGTAGTCAGCTATCTCGTTTGAACATGCATCCTTAGGACCCCTGTGTGCTTACATTTCAATATTCTGTGCCTGTGTGAGGCTTACCTTAGAAACTGTGAAATATGCAGTTGCTGCAAGAGATCTATTTTTTACTCTGTTAAGTGCTTTTGTGTATTAGTTCCTGACTAATAGATCGAATGAGTCAAAGAGCTCACCTTCTTTGCTGAGGCTCTCTGGAAGATGGAGTTATCCTGAATATTGTGATATTTCCTGTTAGCCCAGATAATGCCATAGATAGAGGTTTATCTTTAATTCCAAGGTTAGGTAGAAAACAGGAGTTTAAAAAAAGGAGAATGGTTGAAAGGAAGCATTGGGTTGACCTAAGGAGAATTTTGAATGGAATCTATAAGATTAGATGTCACTACTTATTTTGCCTCACCCATTCTTATTAGTAAATGATTCCAAAATAAGTATACTTATTTGTAAGGTACAGACATGTACTGTTATATTATTAGTATACAAAATATGCACAAAATATAAATAAGGAACAAAATGCAGTAATGATATACTTTCTTTGTATGCCTCAAATAATTCTCTTTTGCATCTCTGGTCCATGCACATCCTGCTTAAGAGAACACTTCAAAAGTACTTAGAACAACAGGGTAGTATTGTACAATGGGTCTCAAATTTTAGTTCAATCAAAATTCCTGGGAAGCTTGTGAAAACCAATTTCTGTCTCCTTACAGAGTCTCAAATTTGGTAGAGCTGGGGTGTGGCCCAAACATTTCCATTTTTAACAAGTTCCTAGGTGATGTTAGCCTGAGAATGACACTTGGAAAACTGGTGTAGTTAAGAGCATGAGATTCAAATTAATCTCCAGGTTGAGGCCGGCACTGCAGCTCACTAGGCTAATCCTCCAAATGCGGCACCGGCACACCGGGTTCTAGTCCCAGTCGGGGCACCGGATTCTGTCCTGGTTGCCCCTCTTCCAGGCCAGCTCTCTGCTGTGGCCCAGGAGTGTAGTGGAGGAAGGCCCAAGTCCCGCATGGGAGACCAGGAGAAGCACCTGGCTCCTCCTGGCTTTGGATCGGCGCGGTGCGCTGGCCGCAGCAGCCATTGGAGGGTGAACCAACAGAAAAGGAAGACCTTTCTCTCTGTCTCTCTCTCTCACTGTCCACTCTGCCTGTCAAGAAAAAAAATCTCCAAGTTGATTAAAGTGGCCTTTAATTACCAAATTTGTAACTTTGGGTAACTTATTTAAACTCTCTGAGTTCAGTGTTGGTTTTTTTTTTTAATTCTCCACTTCTCTGTTCTAAGTTGTGAAATGGAGGTAATTATACATTTACCTCTTGGAGTCACGGGCAAGCTTAGTGAGCTATGCAGAGCAAGTGCTTAGTGTCTGGCAGTAAGCCACTAAATTTCATCGCATGTTGGTCACTCTGTCCTCTTTCTCACCCTCTTCTCCTGATCATTAACATCATCATCAAACGTATGTCACAAAATAGACCTTAGAGACTTTCAATATCAGGATAAAACTTTGTGCCTTAATTCGTAAGAATCACATAGATACATTTTTCTGCTTTCACCTTCTACATTAGGAAAGACTATGCTCCAAATGAGACATGGTAGTAGTTGAATGGTAGTGATGAAGCTCTTTTGCAAAGTCTGCCTCAAGGAGAACAGTGTGTTCAGCCCTCTCCCTCCTGTTTGTACACCTTGACAGTTTGTGGCTAAGTGTACATTTCTGTCTTTTGTACGTATTCAGTTCTTGTTGCATGTGATTGACTTTTTTGGTGATTGTGTCTGAATATCTGGGGGCATGAAAATGGAAAAGTCACGTGATTTGTTTGAATTTGAAGTATTTTTGACATTTCTTCTCTCTCTCTCTCTCTTCTTTCCTTTCTTGTGTATTGTTGTTAGGACCCAGTACAACCTGCCAGGAAGATTCATGTGCCAACCAAGGGGTCTGCATGCAGCAGTGGGAAGGCTTCACGTGCGACTGTTCCATGACCTCTTATTCTGGAAACCAGTGCAATGATCGTGAGTACGACCCTTCCATACTAGGAGGTTTTTCAGGAGGTTTGAGGGTTTGGGGAAACCTTAAGGGACAAATCAAAAGGATAGGTATTCTGAAAGATTCTTAAGTAACTGTTTCTTCCAGAAGCTGGGAAAACAAAGGTTTGGCACAAAGAAACATTTCTTGCTCAACCACACTAGATATTCTCCCATTTGCTTACTCTCTATGTTTTGTTCTTTGGATTACAATACCTGTGACTGGGAAACCAACAAACAAAAAGTCAATAATTCAGTATTTTTTTGTAAGAGGTTTGATTGTCCGTTAATCAGATTATAATAATTGTAAGACTCTCCACATTTTAATTGCATAGAAATTAGAGGATATTTATGAAATTAAGCTATTTTCTCAAAAAGCCTGTGTTTAGAGAACTTTTTAGGCCTTCCAAATGATGATGACTTGGCTGGGAGCATCTTTCAAGTTTATGGCATAAATTTCCTCTGGCTAAGTTTATTGGCTCACTGGTAGGTTTCTATACACATAGCTATTCTGTTTACTCACACGTTTCTCTTTTGTGACTGCGTTTTCATGGATATCTACGTGTATTTGCTTCATAGTAGAAGAGAGCCTGGTAGTTTTAATTTTTTTCCAGTTGTGCCATCTCAGGTGCATCAGCGGATATGGTTGTAAGGGAAGGCTGATGTCGTGGAGGTCATGGTGCAGCTACTTCATCGCTGTGGTCATCTAAAGCCCGAGTCTCCGCTTCATTCTCATGCCATTTTGCTAGCATGGCCATTTTGAAGGCAAGCAAATGCTTGAACATCTTGAATACGTGTTGCAGAGACCTTTTGAAAATTCCTGACTTAGTTGGTTCTACTGATAGGATTTTCTAAATAAGGCCTTTATGGTAGAAGTTTATTTTGCAGTTAAAACTATTCACCCTCCTGGTTTCATAAAAAGCATTGCATGATGTTATCTGAAAAAAAGCAGTCATCTTTTAGTGTTGCCAACATGGCAACAAGTGCCAGTTACAATGTCATTTCCCTCATGTCTGTTTGGTTTTCCTTGATTCCTTATTTCTCAGCCTTTATCATGGGATATAGCTGTCTCTGGTAGTTCTCTTTCCATTTTTCTTGGTTGTGTTTTGCTCCATATGATCTTTCATTCTTTTCAGTTATACAAAGGAGAAATAAATGAGGAATTTTGTGTGTTGAGAGAAAATTATGCAATTCCCATTCATCTAAATATAAGTGTATGCCTCTGTATATGTCATGCAAATGATGCCATGTCACAGAATGTTTTGACATCAGATGGCTCTTGCCAAGAATGCTCGTGTTAATGAAAATCATGTTTTCTTATGTGTGGTTTGGAAATACTGCTGTACTCTGAAACAGGCAGTTATGGACACACCCAGAGTACCTGGGGAACTGTGCTCTTTGCTTTTTCTTGTTCCCCTGATTTATTGGCATAGGATTCACTAGGAATGCTTTTTCCCCAAAATGGTGATGCAATGCCTCTTTATCCTCACAAATCTATTCCTTCTTGCACATATATCCCACTGTGGGTAGACAGTGGTCAGGAGGAGACTCTATGTACGGAGGAGGAGAAAAGGTAAGTTACTCTCACTGCAGTGAAGGTGCACAGTCCTCTCAGAAGGTAAGTATGCGTCTTTCTGTTATTGTCCCTCTCTGCCACCCAGGGCCAGGCATTGTTTTCTGGTAAAAAGTGAACTAGGATTCTCTTCAGTTTCCTATGGTTGTTTCTCTGTTTACTTGTGTGTGTGTGTGTGTGTGTGTGTGCGTGCGCCTAGTGTGGCCTGAGTCTCAGTTCTGGCTGTAGACTACTGCATTATCTGACCTGGGCAGTTTGTTGGTATCTGATGAATTACGAGGACTTATGTCAGCTTCCTTTTCTAGCAATAAATTCTCACACTTCAAAAATGTTTTTAAGTTATCCAGGCTTAAGATATACATTTGGATTAAGAATGCATTTTGCATTTTATTCTCTAAACAATGCAGTGAAATCTTTTGATGGTAAAACACCTAGGAACCCAAATTACTAACACAATTAGCTTATCTGGTCCCCTCTTAAAGAGGGGATCCTGTGGAATCAAGAAAGAAAATTTTAATAACAGACTGTGATAAATGTATAGAATTCCCATCCATAGAATGTGTCTATAAAATAGGGATATAAATTTTTTAACAAAACCCAACCAAATCAATAAAAAGGGTAAGTCGCTTAAATCATTACAATGGCTGTCTCTCTGTCCATAGATTGGCATTCAGGGTATTTGAGGGGTATTTGTCTTTTGAATTAGCAGTAAAGACAGTTGCTTCCACCTGGAAAATCAGTCTCACTGCTTCACATCATTGGCCATTATTTTCAGTATAAACCTTGGAACTTAGAACTGTTATTTTGCTATCTCATCCCACAAACATCTTGAAGGCAGCTACCTTTTTAGTAGTCTACATCTTTACATGTGCTAATAAATTTTTGGTGTATTAGCTTGCTTCAGGAGTTGAGTATTAACCTGTCAACAGCAGAATGGAAAAGGCCTCTCTAAGTCATTGGCCAGCACAGTGGGGAAAATTGTGAAGAAATGGCAGGGTTAAGAGGAAGAGGAAGAGGAATGAAGGAGAATACAGAGAAAATCTGACTTTGTGTATTACTTGGAGGAGCACAGAAACCATTAGTAGTCACTTTGTTGACTTGTGTGGCCTGCTTTTGACCTAAATAATAGAAATGATAATGGCATTTTAGGTGGAATGCCATTAAAGAAATATAGCATTTAGCTAATATATTGAAAATAAATTGCATATGTCTAAAATAAATTACATTTCATAAAATACTCTCATAAGACCATATGAATTGGTTAGAAATGAAATCTAATGGCAAAGGCTTTTGTTGTGGGAAAATGTTTCGAATCTCTCATTTTCCATTAGCTATTTCTCAGGGCAGCAAATTGATCCTCAGTTAGTAGAAATGAAAACATCTCAATTTATTATTGCACATCCAAGAATAGAAACTTGTTCAACAGGAAAATGGCTAGGTTTTCAATTTTCTAAATTAAGGTATTGAGCCCATGAGGTGTAAAAAGCTAATTAAATTTAGGCATGACCTGTGAGATTTTTAAAGAAATATCTGCATATTAGGATCATCTTCACTTCTTCTAGCATTGGTTCTTGTCACTCATACTCTGTTTTGCTCTTCTCTGTTTTTACTTGGTATTTTTAAGATGTTTCTTCCATGAGTAGAATGTACCTTTTAATACTTTATCTCCTTTAGCATGAGTAGAACTAACCTGAGTGGTTTTCTCTTTATTCCATCATTTTTTTGTGTAAGTATTACAGGTTGATGTAGATAGTGGGGTGAATTTCAGGTTCATGCTTAGAAAGAAATGAAGATTGTAAAAATGTGATGTGTAACACTGGCTCTGATTTACCTTAGTAAGAGTGGCTCCTTGCAAGGAACAGAAAGCAGAAACCATGCAACTAGAAATCCAGGAATAATCCACATAGTATCTTACATAGATTTAGGTGTGACTTTCTACCATTTTATGTGATGGCAAAGTCATAAGAAGTTTCTTTTCTTTAGGTTAATTCTTAGATTGGTTTGGCATCACAAGGGACCCAATCATTCCAGAAGCAATGTTGAGTTATTATAGGCTCCTATAAGATCTGCAGAAGGACACAGAAGTAGCATTCTCTGATCATCTTCATTTCTTCTGAAAAATTCAAAACTAAGAACTCTAACTTCTCAGAGTGAATATCACCTGAAAGCCAAATTAATGACTCGTTTTGGGGCCATGTTTTAACAACAGAAGAAGCAGGACCTTAAAAGGGGTCTAAGAGCAACGTTTATTTTTGGATATTGGGTTCTTAGTGGTATTTTTAATTTGGACTGAGAGCTATGAAATTTCCAATGTGATGTAGCCATTATGCCAATCCAGAAAACTTTCCTTTTTGTCTGTCAATACCACTGTTTGTGAGTTCCTCTCTGCTTAAATCCAACTTTCTTAAATGCATCTACATATATACAAAGGATTGCCTTTTATAGAGGCTTTGTAAAAATAGTACTCTGAAGCATCTAATATCTGTGCTTACCATGTTCAGGTTACCGTTTTAAGTTATGTAAAACTTTCTGATCTCCTTATTGCCTTTGAGCCATAGAGAAGCAAATGTGAAACAGCCTTTTTACTAGAGTCCTTAACACATATCAGATTGCTGTGTTTAGGAATTGGGTGTTTACAGTGGTTTTGGGGGATGAAGACAAGAGAATGAATGTGGGTTCTCTGTCCACCCTCAGCAACCAGCTACCCCATACTAAACGGCTAGTCATACATTGCAGGCTACTTGTTGGAGAAATTGCTAGGTTCACACTGGCATGTGATAATAGATGTTCTTTGCTTGCAACAAATCAATAGCAAGCAGCTGTGGGTCGTGCAGATAGTGGAGTGCGAAGCGCCTTTTCATACAGTTTTCTGCTGGAGTGGCTGTTAAGCTGCACTGTTGGCTATTGATTGGCCTTTTGCTTTTTATTTATTGTGTGGCTTATTTATTTTTTTAATGTAGGTTGGCGTATTGATTCAATCTGTTAAAAACACATTTCCCATTCAATCTGCAGAAAAAAATATGCATTACTTAGTGTACAAACAGGGGGACAGACTTGTGTTTACTAATTCTGTCTCCTGGGTTCATATAGGTTCACAGGCATTATGTTATGAACCTGTGTTTTTATAAGACTGTTTGTGAAGCAACAATTCCCAAGCATATCAGAGTATGGTGTGTCTATATTTTGGCTTATGTCTTTATACCTTATCTCTGTTTTCAGTTTCTGCCTGTCCAGCAAATAGGTCATATGTGAGAAGGTCAATAGTAAGAAAGTTATTTGCTGCTTGGAATATACTTCATTCATTCATTTACATATATCTTCCACCAGATATTTCTTCAGTTACAATCATAAATAAGGTATAGTTCTGTTGTTAAAGACATTACAATCTAACGGGGGAAGACACATGATGGTGTTT